AAGAAGATGACTTGAAAATGAAGTTTCAGTAAACACAATACCCTCAGCTAGTGAAGCGTTTGCCGGCCTTGAAACTGCGCTGAAGTGGATAGAGCGTCAGCCCGAGTTGACCACATGCCGGACGCGCGACTTGGCTGCCCGAAAATGGACGAAGAAAGTCAAACAGCTTACTTTGATCGAAATGTTTAGCAAGCAATGCCTCTCAACATTTGTAAGTACAGTACATAACATGTACGTAAAAGTGTATAACATGTACGTAAAACATATGTAACATATACGAAAATTATATAGTACGTAAAAGTGTTGCCTTTTCATTTTAATTAATTAAAACCTCTTTTTTCTTTAAAAATAGTTTTTTCTTTCATTTTCAGCATACAGTACATGCAGTAATTAATAAAAGTGTATGTAAACGGATTCCAGTTATCCGAATGGGTAATGGAATTCGGAAAAATCCAGTTATGCGAATGGGTTCCGGCCCCAATTGATTCGGATAGTTGGAGTTCTACTGTAAATTTCCCTCGGTCTCCGTGAAATTTCCAGTGCCTTCGAATTCTCGAAATTGCTGGAAGGTATACATAGCGTTTCTTAGAAGACCGGAAACAGTTACAGTTATATAGGAATTAGACAAATTACAGTTATACAGGAATCGAACCAAAATGTCTCCAAATGGTCGCGATTTTTGGTGACTTTTGGCGGTTCCTCGCGAAATATGACCACAAAAAATAGTCAATAAAACCATAGCCAGCTTGGCGATATCACTGCAATTTAGCGAGATAGCCATTTAACTCAATATAAAATTGATCTGTTCCTGTAATCTTATTTTCAAGCTTCACATTCTCCAGGCATTTCGCGTTACATTATATAACAGATACTACAATTTACGTATAGTATTCCTGAAATTACTTACATATTCTAAGAGTATTTTCAGTCTGATGCTCAATTCCTTCGGCTAATAACTTTTCCTAATTTTTCCGTAGTTGGTGCCTTAATTCCTATTATTTTAGCTGTTGTCATCCTTGCCGCACTTTACAACTTTATTTTCTCTCCTTGGTTTCTGATATTGCTTAACGTTAATTCTGTCTTTACTATAGCTCTGAATATGTCAGCCGTACGTTCATTATTCTGATAAGTTATTATATTTCTTAATGCTTCCTTCAGTAGCATTATTTTTCCTCTTCTTAGACTTGGAACTATTTCTTTCCTAAACTATTGGAACTGTTCCTTCTTTTTATTGCCTTAAAAAGACCTACGTACGATAAAAACACGATTAGCTGTCTTACACTTGTAGAGATATAAGGTTATTTCGAAGCAGGAAAATTGAAAAATGAGGAGTGCCCTCGCCGAGACTCGAACCATAGACCTCTCGAATTCGCGCCGAGCGTGCTGACCACTACACTACGAAGGCATGCTAAGAAGGTGGGTTTGGTTTATTTAATTATGGCAAAGCACACTAGGGCTATCTGCCTAAGGGGAGGGATGCCTTCGTGGAGGGGAACTGGCTTGTATACACGTTACACATGGGGAAAACCACAAAAACACCCATGCAGCCAGCCCGTTCGCGGGATTCAAACCTCGGACCAAATTACCAGTGTTCAGCGACTTTACCCCTCGGCCTCTGGTGGGCGCTAAGAAGGTGGGAGAAATACCTTATATACCCCCCCTTCTATGGGGATTAGGAGACGTAATCGCCAAATCCTGGTGGATCATCGGCAGATCATCATCCACCACAATTTTTAGTTCGGGCGCAACTGTAGAGACATTAGGCATTTTTCGAAAGTAGGAGAGATGAAAAATGAGCAATGCCCCCGCTGGAACTCGAACTACGGACCTCTCGAATTCGCGTCGAGCGTGCTGACCGCTACAGATGACCGCTACGATGGTATGCTAAGAAGGCAGGAGAAATACCTTATACACTAATGCTGATAAGATGAGGCCAGCAGATGCTCGCGCACAAAATTATGTCCCCATCGTACAAGGTTGGTTTGTATTTGCTATGTTTATTTCAAACATTTGATCACTTAGTCTTTACTATCAAATATAATGTCATCAACTCCCATCATGAAGCAAATCAGTTTATAAGCATAGAGTTCTTGAGTATGAGTAAGAATTTGGGCAGCTATTGTTTACCGTCTCACTACTGCAACTCGAAACTTCTAACGTATTTGAATCTAATACATTTAACCTTGTTACATGTACCTGCTCGAGGATGGTTTTTTATACTTGATTATGGTAAAACACACGACAGCTATCTCCCTAAAGGGAGATATACCTTCGTGAAGGACTTTCTAAGAGAAAGTGGCTCGTATCCACTTTACATATAGGAGAAACCACAGAAACGCAAATAGAGTCAGCCCGTTGAACTGCCAGTGTTTAGAGACATTACCCTCGGCTAGCGGTGGATCCAACTGCTCTAGGGAGGTGAGGGTTTACATGGATAGCCTTGTTAATTCAATATTTAAATTTTTCTTAATTTTTATTTCTTTTCCCCGAAAGCTGCAGATACTTATTTATGCTTTTACACTCGTGTAACTGTTAGATTAAAAAACTAATAAAAAGGTTTTTCTGAACCCTGTTTATGTATCGGCGTTACTTTATTTGGAGGTTAAAACGGAGAAATAAGTCCACTGACTGGCTTCGAGGATCTACAGAAACATTTAGAGTGGTTAATATCCATATAGTATCTCCCAGTGTAAGGGTACGAAAGATAACTGAAGTTTTAGTTTAGAATCTGCAAGGTTGTAGGCTAGAGGGATGCCGGAAAACTCAATGGAAAGATTCGAGGTCTCGTAAATCCCATGCAAACTTCGATGAACCCAGCTGTAAGTCTTGATGGTAGGAGATCGGTATTAAATTTTGTAAATGGCTTGAAGTCACTTTTTATTATTACTATTACACTTTTACTATTCATTTGGGGACCAGCAGAAGGCAAAAATTGCAGCGTTCACTTTGAAAGGGAAAGCTCGTTTAAAGGCACCGAGAAAAGTTTGCTAAGAGAACCCAGTAGTGAGACGTATAAGTCTGATGCTTTCAGAGCAGTGCTAATTAAAGTGTTGGTTACAGTTGGAATTATTTGAAAAATGTCAAGTGATACGAAAAGAATCAACATCGTTGTATTGCAAAAGCTGTTGTTGTAAATGTTTTGGAAGAAAGCTGGATAGCGGCTTCATATCACTGAGTATGCTGAGCTTGCTATTACAGGACACGAATTCACTAAGTTGAAGAATCCCGGTACGTTGCAGTATATGTTCGTATTAGCAGTAAAGTACGAAAGCCATAATATGGCCAAAATTAGGTGTGGGTTTGAATATGGTGGTATGTTCTTCGATAATAGATTTGGCATGAGATGTAACGGAACGTTCGCCGGCAGAATACCTTGATGAATAACCAAACTGGAGAACTGCATGTGGGTAGGTAGAATTTTTCCGATGTGAAAAGAAAAGCGGATATTGGAAAAGGCTCGTCGTTTAAACTACGAAGGGTTGTTGAATATCAGAACAGTCGGTCAGTCCAGGCTAAGCAGATGCCCTCTCAAATACAGTTGAACCCGATGTTGTTGAAAATATGTGGAGTTATTTCATGTGCACGAAGTTTGGAACTGAAGGCCTTCAGCAGCGTTATTAGATACAGGAACGCAGAGTAGCTTCTTGGCGAAGGATTTTTTTGGATATCTTTCAGGAGGTAGAGCTTGTTTGAAGTTGTAGAGATGAAATTCGTAACGGTGCAGCAACAGCATTGTGATTGCATAGGCAGTGTGATGTTCAGCGCTCAGGTGCAGAATGAAAGGCCGCACATGTCTTGTGAGGTCAGGAATTTTCGAACGAATGTGATATTTGGTTTGAAATTTTTTTAAGTCGGTTGGTGCGTGTGTAGATTTTCAGATAGGAAAGGCGAATTTGGAGAAAAGTTAAGAAAAGATATAACGCCGTCAGACTTTCCCTGCAAGACCGAACTGCCGTCGGAAAAAGAAAATAAGAAAGCCCCAGAAGCTGCCGGAATAAATTCCGGGGTTAACACACATAGCGACTCATGAAACAGGTACAGAGAATAATTCCCATGTATAGAGGAAAACCGTACATATATAAGAGAAAGTCATAGATAAGTGTATCAAGAATATATTTAAAAAACAAGTTTATTATTCCTACAAATAGTCCCTACTCTAGTTAAATGGCTTTGTGTCGGTCAGTAAAAGAGTAATTTACCACCCAAAAGTAATTAAATAGCCTAACTAAGTATCTAGTTTACTTCCTACTCATAATGGAGGAAACAATTGCGAAAACTAAACACAACTATATTTAACTTCTGAAATTTGAACTCCTGACTTTTCGACTGCTAGTCGGTCGCGCTTCCAATTACGCAACAAAGGAACGGGCAAAGAAAGGCTGGTTGGTTTGTTATTTGAATATGGAAAAGTACACGAGGGCTATTTGTCTAAGGGGAGGGTTGCCTTCGTAGAGGAATTTATCTAAAGGAAACCGACTTGTATTCGCATTATACATAGGAAAAACCATGAAATCGAATCATCTAATTAGTCTGAGTTTGAACCCAGGATAAACTACTAGTTTCAATCGTTCGGCCATTGGCAGTTCTAAGATAAGGAAGGAGAACATTTCTTACAAAGTTTTAAGCTGACTTGGGGGTGGGGACAGGAATGACTGAAATTTTTCGGTTTTAAACTGGGCAGCTTCATAATCCTTTTTCCAAGCACTGTAAATTCCGTTTCTATTTCATAAATTTTTGCTGCTTTAACATTTAGAATGGCGATTCTTAAATTCTAGTTTGGTGCGAGGGGGGCTTCGTACAATAATATCCAAGGTTCACGAGTAATTTATCACACTAAAATCTGATGTGTTATGAAAAATATAATAAAAATAAGTAGGAATTTAATGATTAGGCGGACCTGCAAAATGTCCATTCGTTGAACAATGATTTTGAATTCTTTTAAAAAGGAACTTCTATTTTAGAATATCAATTAAACAATAATTTCAATTTTTTCCTTTCAGGTTTTGGATGCTCTAACAAAATGTGTCGATGACAGTATGACTTCCTTCGAAGTCGAAGCATGGATACCCATCATGCAAGTAATAAAGCCAACTTTTTTAGTACATTATTAATTCAAAGTAACTTTTGAATAATAGCCAACTCACACAACGTTCTTTGACCGCAGCCGAGTTAATATAGATGCAATATTTGTTTGAGTAGACATTCTTTGATGATGAACAATGAATGTAGGAGATATGAGTTTCGAAGTCTATTCTCTTTTTCTTTCCTGTCACTTTGATATACAAATATCACTTTGATCTTTGTTTTGTTTTCGTACCATAAGTGTTTACTTTTTTGTAGTCCATTTTACTCATACATGATCGTAATAAAGAAATTTTATCAAGAGATTTTTTACTGTAATAGGTCATCAAGTTTTTAAATTAAATAATGTTAATTAGAACACCCAACATTCTTCCAGTAATAGCAATTGCAATAATACAGTTTCGATTATGTTCTTCACTTTTATTAATTAATTTTTTTTTATGTTCGACTCTTAATTTCTCTTCTATTTAAAAAAATTTGAAGATCGCTATTTGAAGATGCTGTCCAAGTTTGAATTCCTATAAAATTCACAGCCTTTATTTTCTGTTTTATTTAATAAATATTAGTCACATTTAAAGACTTAGAAAATTTGTAATGAAGAGTGTGAAAAATGCAATGTTTGTCTTTTGTATTAGAATTCCCACTTAAGCTTTTTCTTCTTATAAATTAGCCAGAACGTTTTTACAACTTGTACGTTAGGTACTTGTACCTTACATTTTTTTAAAATTAAATCTATTAATTTTCATTACGATTTTGATTTTGTTATATGAATTTGTTTCTTTTCCACCCAGCAGAGGGTTCTGTTTTCCCCTTGTACATACGAAGAATTTAAATAAGTGAGTTTGTTCAGAATAATCTTTTGCACAGAACACTGCAGCCAGTTTTGACACTAGGCAACAATTTCTTGGTATCGGCTTTCTTGGTATATTTATTGTAACCAAAGTGTCTCCGAGCTAGAGTTTCAGATCGTAGTCAGAGAACTTGGTTAATATTTTGTAAATGATCTGATTCAAATACATCCCTCTGTCACACTGTGTACTTAGTTGGGAACGCACATCTCAGTTTCCAAAGTACTCTGATTTTCTATTATGATTCATCATGAAACTGTAGTAAAGAGTTACACCATCTTTTGCTGGTGTAAAAGTGTTCCATATTGAGCACGGTGATTTACGTAACTCGCTAAAAATAAGTAAGTCTCAATGATGCTAAGGTAGTTAAACTTCATCGAATTCAAGAGACGTTCTTCGCAAATACTCACTGTGATCTAGTTCAGACAATAAACGAATATGAGCATATGTTTTTAGAAAGCTAGTCCTTCAGAAAGTCCAGTTTTCAGAAAGATAAATCCAAAAGATCCACTTTTATAGATGAGCATGGTTTTCGTACTTCTCAAAATTCGTGCAAAAAAAATGAGGAACAGTTCCCAAAGTGAGAAGACTCTTAATTAAGAAAAACTCAACCTTAAACCTCGAGAGTGATAGGGGCTTGAAGTCTAACGAATACGATAATGCTGAATTTATTGAATTCTAAAGGTAGCAGAGCAAATTATTCTATCCTCGTTTCTAATTTTCTCTTAAGTATATGATTTCAGAAAAGAAAATTACGATTTAGAAATTGGGAGAATAGCTCAAAGTCTAAAACGAAATATTCGTATTATTAGTTTCTTTGATCGCGTTTGCTTAGAACCCTTACAATTATATTTATAGAAACTGGATTTCCGTTTCGTAGTTATATCATGAATGCTAACCAAGGCAGCTGTTAAGAAATTGCCAAGTAATTCCAAACCTAATGACAACATCGACGAACTCAAAAAATTGAAAATCCCAATACCGAACATTTGAGGGTAATAACTAAAATCAAAATTTTGATGGAGAAAAAATAATCATCTTTGACGACCTGGCTACTGATATATGGATAAAAGATATAGCTTTTTTCCTTGACTTAATCGGACATTTGAATATTTTCAATAAAAACCTATAAGGAAAGAGTAAAAAGCATGTGCACTTATGTTAAAGCTCCTAAGTTAAATTGCAGTTATGGGCAATATAACTGAAATTAAGTTTAAAAAAATCGTTATTTCCTGTATCTTAAATCTTGATTTTTTATTTTAAATGAAAAATCTCAAGAATATGAAAAAAAAAAAATGGCATTATCATGACAAGAATCTGAAGAAAGTTTTAAAATTTTAACAATTTTAAGACATTATTTTCAATAACATTAAAAACGAACGTGAATAACGCCCCAGAGAGGAGGTGGATGTTTGACGGTGGGGATGAAGACAGTTTCTGGTAATTTTTCTCCATTGTTTACAAATTTTATCATAACTGACAGACGAAGAAGTATCTTGTAAAAAGGCATAAAAAAGTTTATAATTATTTTCGTACAAATATATGACTATTTTCTGTGTGTTGTAGGATTCCTATCTTCCTATTATAAGTTACAGCTAAAGTTGAGGAACCTTAAGAACTGGTAAGCGAATAATCCCTTTAGTTCAGTAGACAGAGACAGATACTCAAGAAGGGTAAATACCCTTTATTATTACATATAAAGTTTAACAGTCGACTCCATCTTGGAGTTTACAATACAGCCTCTACTCATGCTGGAACTCAGGAAACTAAGGAATAAAGCTTAACTAAACTTAACTAAGGAGATATAGCCGAAGCTAACAAACTTCTACAAAAGTTGGCCCCTTAACGCTGACTAACGGCGAAGTTATCAGCGGCCTAAAGTACGGCCGAACGTAATAATAGCTTAAGAGAGAGTAGCCTAATAGACGAACGCGTGCTGCTTAGAATATCTGGCTCTCTAACGAAGTCAGTAGAACTTCAAAATTAAATACTTCTTCTCCTCATTTGCATTTGACCTCGATTCTGAAAATACGTTCTGGCCGGAAGTTGTAAGCTGGAATTCAGAAAGGACAGGAAAGTAACTTTAACTAAAAATTTAACTATTGGAGAAATTAAGATAAACCTTACAGTTTAAAGAAAAATATAATAAGTAAAAGAAAGAAAACGGGTTTATCTTTATTCATTATCAAGAGTTGTCTTACTTTTCAAAATTTTTCTGAAAAAATGAAAATTTAATATTTAACTACAATGTTTACTTCAATTGTTCTGTCGGTTACACTTTGTAAATCAATACGTTTGAACTACAAAATGTAACCTAGAGAAATTTCTTGCCGGAGTAACCCTTTAAATCTCAGATAAAAAATAAATATGAACTTAAAATTTTTCTTTGCATTACTATTATTACTATTTATGTATGTTTTATAAATATTTAGTGAATGAAAATTGAAACGTAGATAAATGTTTTTATTTTGTTTAAAAGAAACCTTATTATTTGTACAAAAATATTCCACGTCTTCTGCGTCTTTCAGATCATACATTCGGTAGGCATGCAATTTCAGTCTGAGATCACTGGCCTAAGGTATCGGGGAGAAGGTTTTGCTGTCTACTTCAAGCACATTCTTATCTGATACATTGCTTATGCAGAAAATACAAAAAGTTTTGAAGTAGCAAAAGTCTCTGTCAGTTGCATGTATAATCCCCGAACAGTAAATTCACACACAATTACAGTGCTAGCCATTAAATTTGCTAGACCAGGAAGAAAAGCAAATAAAAGTCTTATTTATTGTACATATAACAATATGATGGGAGAAAGACATGATTAAATTTACAAGTGGTTTGGGGTATACAGCGCGCAAAATTCAGTACACAGAGTTTCCACCTAGGGTAGCAACAACGGCTGTGATGTAGCTAGGCATCGGATTGAAACTGAGCTTGGATGACAGACACGGGTATTTCATCCAATGCGACTTCAACTCGAGGCCAAAATTCATCAGTTGCAGTGGCTGGCGAGTGGTGGCACGGCAGTCTGTCGGCAACCCATTAACAGATGTTCTCAGTGGGTGAGAAACCTGTAGAACGTGCTGGTCAGATCTACAGTTGAACACTTCTGCATGGAAAAAGGACAGGACATCTCGGGAAACATGCAGTCTCACATTATCTTGTTTAAAGATGGCATCACACAGGCCTTGAATATAGGGCACAACCACGGGCCTGAACACGTCAAAAATGTAATGGTAGGTTTTCACATTACTGGCTGTCGGAACAAGAGATGCCCAGGATATGTACCTAGTGTCAGCCTACATCAGCACGCCAGGTGCTGAGCTTATATAACGATGCTGAAGGCAGTCTGTCAGTGTTCGTTCTTCTCATGACCTCAACACACGAATACCTTCATCATGAAGCCGTACGCAGAAGAGACGATGTAGTGTCACCCCTGTGTCCAGTGCCATTAACCGTCACACCACTGTAGGCACGGTCTCTGCTGCAACATGAAGGGAAATTGCAACAATGCTCTCCATGCTGACAATCCGTAATACTGCAGACTTCAGACGTCGCACTGTCTGTGTGGACACTTGCTATCTGCGTTTTATTTCTATTTTACTTAAAATATTTTAACAAAGAGTATAGTTAATTTACGTTATAGTTTCTAATTAATTTACGTGTCTAGCGACTATTCGCTTGTCTTCTTACAACTATAAAATATAAGTCAAAGGAAGGTTAAAATACCCTTTTATTCACTCAAAGAAATACCAATTTTATAATTTTTAATACAAGTTTAATTTTAAAACTGACATTTAAAATTTCTACTTTCAATATAGCATTTTAACATATAATATTTTTAAATTCATTTTACATCATTAGTTATAGTTGCTATACAGAATTTATAATCTTTTCCTAAAATCTTAAGTTAACAGTTTTCATTATTACTTGAAATCTTTCCGACTAAAAGACATTCACAAACTAATTTCTCGCAATTTGCGAATTCTTAAAAAGAGATATTTACAAACTTAATTCTCGGCAACTTGCGAATACAAAAATCTTTCTGTTTAAAAGATAAAATTAACAAATTAACGAACTAAATTCTCGCAAACTTGCGAATTCCAACTTCTTGCTTTAAACAGCATAAATTGAACTCTTAATGCAAAATAAGCAAACAAAGTTTAAGATAAGTTTTTCACTTATCTTTTTGGTTTCTAAACTCCTCCATTCTGATATGACAAAACTGCTCAAAGGTAGGGTATCTTAAGAATTGAAGTTTCCTCCTTCTCCATAGCTGGCTAGTACCGTCACGCTACTACCCCTCAGTCGAAATCTCATTTTCTTTCTTCCCCCTATCAATAAAACGCGCTGATTTCCTGATTGGCTGTGGGTTTTGGAACTCCGGTCTCCTCTTTGCCTCCTGGAGGCCACTTCGTTGCTCAGGATCCTTAAATCTTCTCTTGTTTTGTTTTTTTTTTTTTTTTTTTTTGGTTTGTTGGAACGGCACAGCTACCCTTTTCTTTGCCGATTCTTCGCTCTGAAGCTATTCTGACCTTCCTTTCGGTGGTTGTCGCCGGGAAACGCAGACTATCTGGTGAAGTCTCCTTGTTTGAATCCGGATTTCGTTGTTGTTTCTTTTCTCCGTCTGTACTGCCTAAGGATCCTATACACCGCCTTATAACTGGCGTTGGTTGTGGGGAATTTTCCTAGCAGGCTTTTCCGTGGTTTTCCTTTTCCTCTTTTTCGCTGACTCTGGACCTTGTGGCGGTCTGGACCTTGTGGCGGTTTGGCCCGTGTTTCTTTCGTACTTTCGCGGCCTGTTTCCTTTTGACTGTTGGGGGGGGGGGGGCTCCAGCTCGGTGTTTGACTCACTGGAGTTCCTGGAACGCTTCCAGGATCCTGCAATAAATCTTTTAAAACTTGGAAGTCAGTACGAATATAATAAGGCTTTATTTGATCAATATTAGCAATTATTTTCTGACCATTTGCAGCCTCGTATATTTATTCCTCTCAATAATGTGGGCTCAAACTTGGCAACTCAGTTTTCCATTGCAGACGATAACAAATGTCTGATTTTTAATAGTTTTTGACCGACCGTATATTCTACATCCGGTCTATTTCTATCATAGTAGAGCTTCTGCTTCTGTCTTGCTACGTCAAGGGATTTAACTGCTTCATTAATAATCGCCTGGATATCTTTCAATTTAAATTCATCTTGCCTTTGCTGCACAAAAAAAGAGTTTGTCAAAAAGAGTTAAAATTTTCTCCCTAAAAAAAAAGTTCTGCAATTTTTTTTTTTTTTTTTTTTTTTTTTGGTGTGTGTGTGTGTGTGTGTGTGTGTGTGTGTAGTATCGTGCTTCGCTGTTCTCAGAGCAAAACCTAATTCATTGCGCAGCTGTCCTAATTGTCATAATAATTCTTAACGTATCCCCGAATAATTTTAACAATATTCTTATTTACACGTTCCACAATATTCGATTTCGGTCTATATGGTACCATTTTTAGATGGCGTAAGCCAAGTCCTGTGCAGAGATTTTTAAATAAGTTACTCGCAAACTGTCTCCCGTTGTCCGATATTACTTTTACTGAGGCCCCGTATTTTAAAATATACTTATCTAGAACGGAATCCGCTACTATTTTTTGCTGATGTTCGTTTGAGGGGACTATTTCAACCCACTTTGAGAAATGATCCAATATGGTTGACAAATATCTGTTTTATTTATTTTTGTTCTAGGGTAAAGTCCGAGCAAATCAATGCCAACCAATTCATTTGGAAAAGTGGTTTTTATGTTATTTAGGTACCCGCCGAGTTGCAATTAAAGTCGTTAATTAATTGGCACGAGCGACACGACCTGACATACACCGTAAACACCCTCTGCAACTGCGGGAAATAAACCACATCGCGTACCATTTGCAAAGTTTTTCAAATTCCTAAATGACACGAAATTGGCGAACCGTGGAGCCCTCTAAAATATTTAAGCGTAGACTCGCTGGGATCACTGGCCGGTATTCTTGATTCTCGTTAGTTATTTTCGTGTAAAAGAGTAATTTGTTAATGATTTCATAATGAACCGCCCTATTGCAAATAGCCGTTAAGTCCCCATGCTCAAAATGTTCGGGGTCTTCAAGATACGCGTAAATATCGTTGAATTCAGGATCCATTTTTTATTCCGAAATTACTGTTTCACGGGACTCAATTACATTAGACGTTAGCATACCACATCTAAGTGTATTTTCTTCTTCGTCAAACTTAATTATTGACAGGGCATCGGCAATTATGTTTTTTCCCCCGATGTAGGTTTTATAATTAAATTAAACTCTTGCAGTTTTAACGTCCACCGTATATTCGGGTGAGAGATTTTTCCTCGAATATAAGCGACCAACTGCCGCATGTTCTGAGTATACTGTTATCGGGACGCTTCTGAAATAAACGCGGAATTTTTTTGCACCGCTAGTAAGACAGCGAGAGTTTCTCTCTCAGTTGCCAAGTAATTCCTTTGAGTCTGATTTAGCGTTTTGCTAAAAAAAGGCTATTGCTTGCCCATATTGGAAGAGAACTGCGCCAATTACGTAATTCGGTGCAATCTATAAATTTTAGTCCCCTTCTGGAAATTTAAGAACTGCGAGCGTTGATTAGGGTGTTTTTCAATTTTTCAAAAGCCGTGTTCACCTCAGCTGTCCACGTGAATCCAGTTTCTTTTTTTAGTTTAAGAACTAACAACTTCCCAAATTCTTTTATAAATACTCTATAATAAGAACACATGTCCAAAAAGGAAGATAATTTCTTCGCCGTGTTTGGAGGTGGATAACTCTTAATTGCTAATATTTTGGAATTATCGATCTCGATATCTTTTTCCGAGATTTTATAACCTAAATACCGAAGCTCCTTGCCAGCAAACTTTCACTTCTTCGGTTTTACCTTGAGGCCGGCCTCATTTAACAAAGTAGTTATTTTATTATTAAACTTCCTCCAAATGTTTAATTGGTTCGTCTATCGTCTCGCTGGTTTTTATAATTTCATCCAGCTAAATAATTGTACTTTTGCCTAAGACTGGCCTTAAAACAATGTCCATGACTTTTTGAAACACAGCCGGAGCTCCACTTAAGCCAAAGGTTATTCTCAAAAAAGCATACATGCCTGATTTCGTAATAAAAACTGTTTTCCCGACATTCTTGGGTTTCACTGCGATCTGAAAATAGCCTGACGTCAGGTCTAGTGCAGTCATATACATAGTAGAACGAATTTTTCTTATAATATCATTAAATTATCGGGAGAGGATACATGGGGTATTTTTTTATGCTATTTAACTTGCGGTAATCAACCGAGAACCTCCATGAGTTCGGCTATGAGGGTGGTAGTCTGTTTTTCTTCCTTCACAAAAACTACCGGACTCGCATAGGGGTTGGTACTTGGCACTATAATTTTGTTATGGAGCATTTTCTTGATATGCTGTTCGAGAATATCTTCCTTGATGCGGTCACACCTGTAAGGCTTAGATCGAATTGGAAAGGCACTACCAGTGTCAATACTATGTTGTACCACTTGGAGAAACCGAGTTTTTCATCGAATAATTTCTAAAACTTTCTTACCAGACTTTCGACTTTCTTCCTGTCGTCTTCTCCGAGATGATTGAGATCCACCTCCGGCGTCGTCCCCTCTTCTTCAACGGTGTCCATGTGCAGCTGCAAAGTAGAATTCTTGAAATTAAGTTTTGCGGTCTCTGCGCGTAAGAAATCGACCCCTAAAATAACTGAAGTTTATAAAAGTAAAATAACAAATTCTTTGCTACCAAAAAATTAACTTTCTGAATCTCATTCTTTATTTGAACGTGTATCCTCACTTTTCCCATGCAGATACACTGCTTTCCTTGGGCGACAATTACCATTTGTCCAATTATTTTAAACAATCTATTGCGACGAAAATGATTTTTAAAGAACTCCTGTGAAAGGAAGCTGCGCTGAGCTCCGGTATCGAGGAGGGCGGTAGTAGGAACACTGTTCAGTAAAATGTGGATCTCCGGCAAGACCAAATTTTCTACGACTACCGTATTCAACAACTATGGGCGCAGCTCCTTCGTGTCATAAGACGGGCTGGACTACGTCCTAAATAAACTAAATAAACCGAATTCAACAACTGCAAGGGTAATTTTATCGATTGGCCAATATGGAATATACTCACCCATTCCAATCTTTTTCCCCTTTTGACATTTCATATAATAATAATAAACTTTAATTACACAATATATATATATATATATATATATATATATATATATATATAATAAACACAAAATATCAACAAGCAGCATTATATAAAGGAATAAAAATTAGTAATTACCGGTATATAATTAATACAAAATCTATGAAAAATCATGATTTATTAAAATAAAATATTTTTCACGCATAATGGAAACATGATCCAGTTTTCCTTAAGTATTCCTCCATGAAGGTACTAATTCTTCTTGTATGCTTTTCCGTATTTTTTAAGAAAAAAAAAAAAAAAAAATACAGGCGAGGGGAAACAAGCATAGCAAATATTTACGGAAATTTATAACAACAGAGTCGATGTCTCACGTGATAATTTAAAAATCATTTAAATCATTTTCTCAATTTCTAATGCAGATTTTTGTTTCGTTACAGACATGTGCTCATTCGACGGCGACAGAAATGACGGAAACTGCAAGCATAACCTCTGCTTCTTCACATACTACATACAAAGGAACGCAATAAAGGAAACGTTTTTAAGCCTTGAAAATTAACTCGGAATGAATGAACATTTTGTAGTATTTTGCTTTATGTCTGCATATATAAAGCTTTTTTTACTGTGAATGCTATCTGTTTTCTTAATTCTTATTCTGCAAGCAAGTTCACCAGCAAAGTTTCAGGCCTGAAATATTTCCACGTAGCTTCTAAACAGCCCACATCTTAACCTGCCTCCTTTAACACATCAAATTCTCTTGCGGAAAAGTTTAAATGAGATAATTGGTAGTTTTTTAATAAATTGATATCTACCGTTATGGATTCAAATCTGTCCGCCAAAAGCACAGCAGTATGACAAAGACATCGTGGAGAAAACAACGAAAGGATAAACGCCGTGGTGCAAAACATCTTGGGAGAAAACATCTCAGTTCAGAAACATCGTGGTACAAAACGTCATGATTGAATATAAAGCAGCTCAAAAAAACTTCGTAGTTTAAAAACATTGTCATCGAAAACATCGTGGTAAAAAATAAAGAACCTAAAAGCTATCTCATGACGTTAACATCGCAGACATGTTTTATTCAGGCATTAAAAGTCGTAAATGCGTATTTCCATGATGGCTTGCGACAGCAAGTACAAATGAGGAGTATATTTACTTTTATATTTCATACTTTTGAATTACCTAATAAATTTTTGCTGAAAAAAATAAGAAGCAAATTCAAAAACTGAAAATGAGTAGAAAACTAATGCTAGGTATAGTAATTAATAGAATTTTAAACTTATATTTTACAAAGCAAGGAGAAAACATCGCAGTTCTAAAACATTGTGGTACATCATCACCGAAGATAAAGCAGTTCAAAAACTTCGCACTTTAAAAGCATTGTCATCGAAAATACCGTGTAAAAAAATTTAAAAAAATAAAGTACCTACAAACCACCGCATGACAATAACATCGCAGACATGCTTTATTCAGGATGCATATTCGTATAATGATTTGCGAGAGCAAGAAGGATTGGAAAATGTATTTGCTTTATGTTTCATATTTTTGAACTAATTAATAAATTTTTGCTGGAAAATAAGAAGGAAATTCAGAGATTAAAAATGAGTTGAAAAATAATGCTTAGTTGTTAATGGAATTTTAAACTTATTTAGTTAACTAATAAAGGTCATTAATTAATCTCTTTTATTAAATTTTGTTGGTAGTTTTTCATGCAAAATATAGTATAAAAAGATTTGAAAAAAGAAGAAGAGTAACTGTATGTGATTACCTTTGTTAAAATTATTTAATTAATTACCAAATTATCAAATCCTGTTACCTGCTATAAGTATTATTAGTTTTTTACTCGTTTTCAGTTTTTGAATGCTTAAGTTTCCTTCTAAAGTATTTAACACTAATTTATTAGTTAATTAAATATAAGAAAAAAATATTCCGCATTTCTTCTTATGTTTGTAGAGTTGCGCGCCTCCAACCTGCACGCAACCAAGAGGTGACAGTTGAAACTGGAAAATAGACAGAGTCTTGCTAAGGATTTAAGTCCCTTTTTATTCAACTTAAAAAATTACAATTGCGTGCTCTTGACGCTCACAAACTACGCCGACCCGGCGGTAAAATAAAAATAAGAACCTGAAAAGAAATAATAACAAGACTCTAACTACGAGGCTCTCTAAACGTAACTAACCTCACCGCGTTTTACAATACCGCTGCTAATTCAGCAAACTTGAATATCACGTTGAAACGATTAACAATTCTCCGAGGCAAGCACACAGGCCGAAACGCGTGGTTCTTCAATTTCTGGCTAACTACCTCCGCGCTCGTGAAGTAAGAACAGCACACCTTCGAACTCGTTTCCTTCTATTTAACTCAGAATACTTCCGCTGATAATTTGAATCCTTGCGCGTTCTACTAAAATTTACATACTCTGGCATTGGCAGTTCCAGGGGAAAGTAAGGCTTGACAGGAAAGATAGTTTAAACTTAAAATAAATGTTAGTTAAAATAAATATAAACCCTACATTTGCCGCTGCCAGAATTTGGAAAACTTGGAAGCAGGTCCTACAAACGACCTGTTGTAAAGTTTCTACAATTCTGAACTAAACTTTAAGAGCCTCGTTTACACAAAAAAAAATCTTATGTAACAAAAGGTATACTAAATTTCTGTAGATACTTATATAAATCTCTCTTCTTACAGCAACTTTTCCTGGACTTCAGCAATCAATCTTGTTCTTTTCCTTCCAGCATCTGGAAGGAATAAGTATCAGTATCTTTCTAAATACATTATAATTTACACTTTCTTGACACTGAATAAATTTTTGTTTTTAAACGATTTATTTTCCTTAGTTACTGCTTAATTCACATTCATTCAAGTATTCAAACATGAATTTAACTTTACCCTGGCTCTCCACCATGTGTGGTGTCAAACGGGAATATTCGTGTTTTAGTATTACAACACTTCCCCTAACCACCATGATTTGTTAGAATTCAACGACCAAATAGGCACACACCTTACTCGACATTCTACAACTCGATGAGCTACTTTAACATTCTTAAAATTCAAGTGTAGGTGGAGAACCCTACAAAACACATTCATTCTAAATTCCCCCTCATTCATCTTTAGACATGCAGGCTTTCGCTCTAAAGCATGATTTTATCTACAGTTTAATACTTAAATTTTGAATTCATTGCTTTTGAGCATTTACTTTTAGCATCTAAAATTTTATGCTTCTAGACTAAATTCTACTTTTACATAACTTTCAAGTATTTACGTATATTTACAAAATTTTATTAATACATATGATTTTTACAATTTACCATAAAATGAATAAGAGAAAATAAATTTTTACTTTACTCATTCTTCGCCAAGCTGGCGGCACTGAAACTAAAATTCTTATTAATACAAGAATACGAAGTTATTTTTATCTTCGGCCAAATTTTGGCTTTAACATAACAGAATTAGTCTTTCGACCAACAGAAAATGCTTGTTCTTAGATTTTATACTTAAAGAAAATAATACTTTTGCCTTAGCTAAATAAAGTAAAACAAAACTAAGTCTCAACCGAGACACATATTGACTTTCGTCAAAACATAGAACTTCGTACTTACGCATAACATTTCGGAACAAAAGAAAAAAATTTTTTATAGAAGATTTTAACTTATCTTTGAGTTTTCGATGATTGAAAACTCCGTCATTCTTTTCTGGCAAAACTGTTCCCACGTTATAGGTTTCATGGACGTCAATCTTCTCCTTACTGACCTCCGAGTGTCGTCCACATTAGTTTTCTTTTGCGTCCTCTGCATGCTGGCCTCTTGGCGTAGGTAATCGTCGGGTTGTTGTCTTTTTCGTTTTTCCCATTGGACGGCTGGTCTTGACGTCCTCCGGTCTGGAGTCCTTCTTGAATTTCTTCTGTTGTTCCTGGTATTTTCGTTCCTCCTGCTGTCTTTTCAGTTTCCGGAACGGCGGCCTTGTTTGCACCTGACTCTCTGGCCCTGGGAAGCGTTCTCCTTGATGTATAATTTCTACTGCGATACGTTGTAGGTGGTTGTTTCCTCTTTACCAAGGTTTCTTTACGCGGTGGCTTTGCATTCTTGTTTTTCTTAAATGCTGGAGTCTGAAAGTTTTCATTTTTCTTTTTGGTACCGTCGTCATGGGTTGTAGAAGGGCTAGGTCTCTCTTCTCTGCTTCTTGGGTGGTGGAACGGTTGTCGTTATTTCTGGACCTTCTACTTCTTTTACGCTTGAGTCCTGCAAGAAACTTTTAAGGATTTCAAAATCATTTGGATTATAGTATTTTTTCACCTGGTCGGGACTTGCTTTACAGATTTCCCCTCTCTCGTTCTTAAGGTACAATACGACTCCTTTGATTTCCTGAATTACATAGGGGCCTTCAAATTTTGGAGCTAACTTTGCAGTAAAATTGTCTGGGGCACTTGATAAAGAAAATTTCCGCTTCAACACTTTATCCCCAACTTTAAAATCTGCTTCACGGCGTTTTCTATCATAATATACTTTTTGCCTATTTCTTGCCGTATCCGAGCTTTTAACCGCCTGATCAATAAGTTTTGCACATCTTTTGTTAAAACTCTTGCTCTCTTTGTTGCACAAAGAATAATTTATCTAAAGGCGTAATTAACTTTCGTCCTAAAAATAATTCTGCTGGGGTTTTTCCCGTAGTATCGTGATTTGCCGTTCTTAAAGCATAAGCTAATTCATTTATGTAGCCATCCCAGCGCTTGTGATGTGTGCTAACGTAACTGCGAATTATTTTTACAATGTTTTTATTCAACTCTTTCTGCTATGTTTGCCTGTGGTCTATACGGAACCATTTTGATATGGCGTATGCCAAGTCCAGTGTGCATATGTTTTCAAATATTTGACTAATGAATTGTTTTCCGTTATCGCTAATGACTTTTATCGGTGCACCGTATTTTAAAATGTATCTGTGTAAGAATGCATCTGCGACTGTTTTGGCTGACGCGCGTTTAAGTGGAACAATTTCTGTCCATTTTGAAAAATGATCTACAATTACTAAAAGAAAACGATTTTTATTTAACTCACTCTGGGGGAAAGGACCAAGAAGATCTATGCCTAAAATTTCATTCGGAAATGTAGCGCGAATGCTATTTAAGTACCCGGCCGGGCTGTAATTAATATCATTTATTAACTGACATTGATTGCAGGACCTGACATACGCAGTTACTATTTTGTATAATTGCGGGAAATATATACCGCTTCGCGTACCCTTTTTAAAGTCTTTCTGACCCCTAAATGACCCGCTGTTTTCGCGTCGTGTAATTCCTTCAAAATGCTTAATCGAAGCGAGGCTGGGATGACTGGTTTGTACTCGAGATTTTCGTTTGTTGTTTTCGTATAAAATAATAAATTATCTATTATTTCATAGTTTTCTGCTCTATTTCTTATCGCATCGATATCTGTGTGCTCAAAGCTTTCGGGGTCTTTCAAATATGCATAGATATTTCCAAATTCAGGATCAGCTTTCAGTTCAGCGATAATTGTATCTCTAGAATCTAAAATTTTTGAAGTCAACACAGCGCATTTAAGTTCATTTCCTTCATCGTCCAGTTTTATACGAGAAAGTGCGTCAGCTACATTGTTTTCCTTACCCGGT